ATAACTACTTTTAAAAATTTATCTGCACATTTTGATCTTTGCCTGTCATTTTTGCAATATTTTGTTCTGTTTAAAGTGGCCTTTTAACATGAAACATATTTATGGCTAAGAGAGGCCCCTTTACTATTTTTCTTAGCAAAGACCTGGATTAAAAAATCCTACTGCGTTTTAGTGATTCCAGCTACTTTGCTGACATAGTAGCAATGCAACACATTCCTACCTTTAAAAGTTGCTTTGACACCTACGGTAAGTTTCAAATGAAAGACAGGATAAGTGATGATGCACTTAAAGTTCTCAGGATAGAAAAGAGTTCTTTCATCTCCAGAATTTTCACAGAAGAAGAGATATGGTCGATATTAATGCCATTTGTGTGTTTAATTTCATATTATCTTGGTACTCATTTTTACTAGGTGTAATGTTCTCCCTCTCCTCTGGCTTCTTACTTATTTTTCTAGGCACATGTTTTTCCCTCACCAATTATCTGATCATATCAACAGAAAAACCCCAAATTTCCATGCAGCTAGAAACTAATTTTCTGAGTGAATAAATATTGACTAAAACATGAAATCTTGATTATATTCATGCCTTCTATGAGAACTTCAAAAGTTACTTTTCTTCATACAGCTGTATTTCTGCTGTGCTAAGGGTCTCACCTTGAAAGATTTTTGAGGAATGCCTTGACTTTCATGATAAATCTCTTCATTGTCTGAAATTGCTCCAAAGCTCTCCACTGTATAAATAAAAACTAATGATAAAACCTACTCTCAGAAAAAGTAGCAAACTCTTAGAGAAATTCAGATTAAAAGCCAAACACAATGCTTCCCCAGTGAGCCCAGCTCCATCCAAAGTCCTAGTTTAACATAGAATTATTCCAAATCTGGTCCACTGTCTGAGAGTTTGAGATAATAAAGCAAGGAAAACACATATAAAATTCAGCTCCTGAATTTAAAATTTAAAAAATATTCTGTCACACAGGTTCCCAGCTGCTTTCTCACTGCAAACTGTCTGCTCCTGGTCACTGCCAGGAAAAGTTAAGACACCTCTCTAGGCTTCAGCTGATCTACACATAATCAGTCCTGTGACGCATAAACAAAAGCTGTGCTTTGCACAGATATGAATTGTCATTTGACAGGAAATTTATTCTGGGTGAAATGCTTTGCATTTTGCAACTGCAGATATGCCAAATCTTTTAAGTGTAAAGCTCTAAGGCAGAAAATGACCTTATGAAGCTTTCTATTCAGAGCTGTATGACATCCTGAATGAGTTCAGGAACATGCAGATGGCAGCTGAAAAAAGACAGCTGATTGCAAAGCTCTTCAAGATTACCATGAAGAACAAATATACAGTCCATTTATTTCTAAAAAGTGTAAGTGTATTTTCAATTCACTGGAATGCCTTTTTTATTGTGCCTGAAATAGCAGTGCTATTCCAAGTGAAATATCCTGTCAGGATGCTGAGTAAAATGCTGAAATAATATGTACTGACATTCTAACTTTAATGTGTAAAGAAAATACGTGAGAATCATAGTTGTCGACATCATTATTTTACAGCTACCACTGCTTTGCCATGATGAAAGCAATGTCTTTCCCTAGAAGTTGCTAATTGTGTTTTACTGTTGTCCCCTTGTACAAGCAAGTGAGAGAGGGTTGGAGTCATCCAGGAGAACAGAGGAATATCTACTTTGTAAAACCAAAATATTTACCAGTGTAAGGCTCTCGGGGCATTTTTTTAATATGAATTTTTAATATTAATTTCTTCTTAGATTACAAGTCAAGGTACTTTTTCAATTCAATTCAGGATTTTATATAAAAAAATTCATGCATGTCCTAGCATGTATTTAAAGTGGAATGAGTGTTCATCTCCTGGTTATTTTAAAATGAATGTGAAAGAATTTTTATAGAAAATGGATTTAAGAAATGTTACCACAATTTTTTATTCTGGAGACCTCGTTTTAAACGTACTTTACTGCATGAATAAACTGATCAACCTCAGGATCAGATTCTGAGTGAAAACTCAACAGTTTCTCTTGTTAGTAAGTTTTAAAATTAAATAAATGAGTAATGGGACTGCTATAAGAATATTTTCCTGTTTCATAATGTAAACTATGAATGACAACTTTATTCTAAACTTCTTTTTCTTAATGAGTTTTTGTTTTCGCTTTTTTTGACAGTTTGCAATGCTATAAAGCCTTACATGGAGATAATAACTCATAAAAGAAAATTCTTTCTTGTCTTGAAATGTTTTTGAAAAAACAGTATCAACATCACTTAACCTTTTCCTCCACATACATATACAAAGATTACACAGGGAAAAACAACAAAAAAGCCTGTGGTGGGAAATAAGAAAGGAACTTCAGTGAAGTGAACGACTTACTGCCATTATGTAAAAACTTCAAATCTGAAGCAGAAATTAAGACAATTACTTTAGAAGATTCTGCATCACAAAATCATTATTTTTCATAAAGTTTAGTCAAATTGTTAGAGCAGCAGCTTTTGAAGAGAGAATCTCTGAAAAAAAAAAAGACTGCTCTATAAGTGCAATGAATATGTTACCAATTTCCCATTTTAGACATGCTAAGAACTGCTGATAGAAAAAGTTTTACATAATGCATACAGTGTGTGAGGACATTATTATTTCTATCTGTCCTCATAGAAAATTCAAACCCAAAAAAATAAATTCATGATTTTTTTAATAAATTGGCTGCATTGCTTTAGTATGTGTTTATTGATAATCTTGATAAAAAATACAATGGATTCAAATATACAAAAAATACTAAAAAAAAAAAAGAGAAATTCGGAGAACCAGGTCAAGACTCCATAGTAGTCTGAGCAAAAATGCATATGGCATCATATCATATCATCCTATATCATATCAACTTCTGAATAAAAATAGTTTTGGAGAAGTTATGAGTTCTTGTATTCCTACTGTACTTGCGCTTGACTTGTGAAATGACAGATCCAAAATACGTAACAGGTTTTGCTCATATAATAACTCAATTAGAAAGGGTTTTTTTTCTGTATTATGAGACCCCTCACTGCAGATTTGATTTGAGAATTTTTAAATGGACATTTTTACTTCCCTGGCCTTTTAATAAAATAACATTGCTGGTTTCATAATGTGATTTTTCATCACACTTGAAGCTTTAAGAATAGCTTGTATTTATTTTGTAATTTCTTATTGCATTAAGCATAAGGAGAGAGGACCTCTGAAGCAAAAGTGTTCCATTTTTTTAATTATTCCTTTTTTTTCAATTGTTGTTTCCTGCATTTCCTGAATTGGCTTGGCATTGATTCATGAAAGAGCTTTTAAAAATCTTGGAACCATGGATTTAGATGCTTTTCGAACTGCAGTTTTAGCAAATGAAGCAATGGGCCGTACCTAAATAAAACACTTGTGGCCTTTTCTCTGAAATCAATCATCTGGGATCCGTTTTAGCTCATGCAGAGTCAGACCCGCCAGAAGGATATTGAAATCTAACTGCTCAATGATCAGCACCAGGAAAACAAGGAAAACAGATTTAGCATTTCAACCCCACTCCCAGAGGACATTCATGCCTACAAAGATGCCATCTCTTTGACACCTGTGCAGCTGACCACCCATGCTGCAGAATGATGCTTCTGGTTCTTCTTCATTCCCTCTCCTGGGTTTATTCTCTCCTGGGCAAACTGTTGAATATTCAGCTCTAAAGAGCCTACAGTGTCATAGTGAAGCAGAACTTGTGATAAGCATGTGACTTATACAGCTAAGATGAAATCCAGTTAGACTGAGCTTGATTTGGGTTTTACTTATATTAGCAAAAAATATTTGATAAGAGTGAACATGCAGAGACAAAGAGTTGGCACTGGAGACATGAAACTTAGATTATGTGCATTTTAAGATGGTTATCTTAGACCAGCTCTAGTTTGATCCTGTAGACTGGATGCTCACCAGTAATTTGGTGAATTAGATGTGATCTTGGAGTTTTTTAATTTTTTATGTTTGTTTCATAAAATTAAATTCTGTTCACATGCTCCAAAACAGTTGCATGACACGAACAAAAGCAGAGAAAGTAGGGAAAAAATGTGAGATTTGCTTCAAAAGCACCTCCTGGACCCAGCTAAAATGTTAGTGTAGAAGCATTCTTATGAATCTGGTAGATTTAGGGCCAAGCTGCCAATTTACCTGACTATCTCGAGCCATGGTAAAACAAGGAACATAGCTTTAAACAAAGGAAAAGGAAAGGAGAAAGTGAAGGGGAAGGTGGTAGGGGAAAGGGAAGAGAAATAAAAAGCTGAAGGGCAAAGGGAGTGGAGAAAAAGGTGAAGGGAAAGCAAAAAGGGAAGAGAAGGAGATATAGAAGGGAAAGTGGGAAGGGAAAGGGAAAGAGAAGATGGAAAAGGTAAAAGGGGCAAGAGTCTAGCCTTTAAGAACATATAAACTTAGAAAGCATTTGAACAGGCTTATTTCTATGTACTTGATCTTGTACTGTAATCTTAATAATTTTCAACTTTGAAAAAAATTTTTTTCCTTAAACCTGTTCTTCCTGCCATTCTGATCTAGTCCATCATGGTAGTATTTCACTGATTAACAGTACTATGGATTTTTTACTTTGATAAAAATGTAGGTTCTATGACATCAGATATCAACCTACTTTTGAATTAACTTTGTGTTTGCTTTGATTATAGCTGAGAGGGTTGTTTTTTTCCCCTGGATACAAGAAATACATAGTACCAGAATACTTTGAAAATAAAACCTTAACCTTTTAATCTGAATAATTTTTAAAGTTCTTTTTTTTTTTTTTTTGCTTCCTTAACATGAAAATAAAACCTTTTACTTCCATGTGTGTAAAATATTTCACTTAAACAAATCAGGTTTGTTTTTTTGATTTGTTAAAAGTGATTTTTTCTACTTTATGATTAGAAATAAATGAAACTGCTATTTGTCACAGCTCTGATATTCTCATGATTGAAGGACTATAAAGAGTTTCATCTTGAACTCAAGTAAATCAGACATAAGTGCTAGGAATTCAGTAGTCCAGCAGAGACAAGGTGGTGGCAGCTCCATGGCCCCTGGTCCAGCCAGTAGCAAGGTTGAGCATGTGTTCCAAGTAGGCACACACATCAATGTTGTGTAGACACATCTACATCCAATACACCTAATGACAAGGTCTGACACATGAATGGACAAAAGTAGAAACATGAAAATTTTTGTAACAGAGGCAGAGACTTGGACTAGGTCTGTCTGGAAAACAAAGAGTAGAGAGCCCACAACTTTTTATGATAATCTATTCCTCATGGTGACGGAGTTTCTTAAGAGGCAATGGCATACTGTTAGGAGCAACAGTTATTGCTCCTTACTTTACTGTCTACCACTGTGTAGTAGTTTGGTCTGGGCCTTCCTTGGTGACCAGTTTGTAACCAAGGAAAGGCCCAGATTTACCCAGTATTCCCTATGATTTTTACGTAAGCCAGGTTATAAGAAGAAAGGAGGAAAGGCCTTCAGTCTCTTTCCTTCCGGCGGCTTGGAGGTGCAGGTTCCCTGCTGTTGAGTCTGTCGTGTTGGGGAGCGAGGCCTGGTAAGGCCTTGTCGACCTTGGGAGACAGAGGTTGCTGGTGATCGTTCCGGAGCGACTCTTGGTTGTCCCAAGGAGAGTAGTGAGATATTTCTTTGCTAACTCTTTTAGTTGCTAGATATTGGGCGACTACTTGGGGTATATATATACATTTTATTTTGGTTTTGTTCCTTTTCCCTTTTCCCTTCCCTTTCCCTTGTGAAATTGTATATATATTTCAATTGTATATAACTGTAACATAAGTGTAAATATATTTATATATATTGCTTTAGCTGTCTCTCTCTCGTTTCGGTTTTCTTGGTTGTTTTTTTTTCCTTTCCCTCTTCTCCCTGAGGTTTTGGTGGGGGGGGACACACGACTTTTTGTGGTAAGGTTTGAAGACTTGGCAGGGAGCCAGCTTCAAACCATATCACACTGTCAAAAGAGTTTATATTCTAGAAAGGATGTAGCTCTTCAAGTGCCATTCAAGTAGTTACATCCTTCTCTTAGACCACCTCTTAGCATCCATTATTCAAAAGGAGAAGGGTGGGTCCCTCAGCCTCTCCTTGTAGGTCATCTGTTCAAGGCCCTTGACCGGCACAATAGCAATCCATTACATCCACTATTCCAGTTTCTTAACAGTGCTCTCAAAATGGACATAAGTATTCCAGATGCAACCCTATTAGCACAGGGTAGAGGGTTATAATAAGTTTGTTGAGTTTCCTTACCATGCTCCTCCTGAAGCAGGTCCAGTGTGTAGTTCACTTTACTTGTGAAGAGAATGAAAAGTGGACTCAGATCCAGTACAGCATCCTGACCTTTATTCTTGAAAAGTTTCTCAAGTCTTGTGGTTGTTTAGTCAAATTTATCAAGGTCCCTCAGAACTGCAGATTATTCTTTCATTGTGTCAATTAATGATTTTGCTTTATTATTTCTGCAGATTTACTATGGATCTGTCACTGTTCACATCACCAACTAAAATAATTGACAGTATGGGTCCCAGTGTGTCCCTGATACTATTATCAGCCACCAACAGGACACAAGCTCATTGATTCCCACCATCTGAGCTTAGCAATCCATCCGTTTTTCAGCACCCAAAACAGTACTGTGTTCCAGACCTCAGCTTCCAAATGAGAATGCAATGAGAGATGGTGTTACAAGACCTACCAGCATCCAACAGTATCATAGTCACCACTCTCCCCTCATCCATACAGACAGCAATTTCTTTGCAAAAGGCAAGAAGACTGGATAAGCATCATCCTTGAAAAAAATCATATTGACTGCTCCTGGTTTCTGTCCTGTTCTTTACATCTCAGTAAACAGACTGATTCCATTACTTCAAGATCTGTCTGGGGACAGAGGTGAGGCTTACTGGTCACAATTTCCCATGTGCTTCTTGCTCTTTTTGAAGAAATATGTATTGCATTATACATGTTCTGGTTTTCATTGACCTCTCCCAGTCATTAAATTATTTTCATAAAAAAATTGAAAAAAAACTTGTTACCAGCCAGCACTTTCATAATTTCCAAGTGAATCCCATCTAGCAGATGAATTTGAAGAGGTACTGCTGAGTCTGAAGCTCCCTCACTGTGGCTGGTATCACTCATGAAGTGACACTTAAAGAAATACTTGTTCTCTCTGCAGATACTGGAGCCACATTTTCTGAATCCATTTACTACTGGCATATCTGTTACCCTTTAAGTCCCTATCTAGTTTTAGTTCCAAATAAGCTTTGTCCTGTTTGATTAGCATTAATGTCCCTAGTAATGCTATTATACTGTTCTCATCTTTCCTGGCCCTGTCTCTAGTTTTTCTATGCTTTCTTTTTGCATTTCAGTTAAGTAAGATCCTTGGGTATGTTGCTGGAAATTCAAGGTTTTCCACAGAAAAGAATGTTTTGCTCCAGTTTTCTCTGTTTTCATTAAAACTCAAACAGCTTTTTCTCTCCATAGCAACTTCCCAGGGATTCTGATTAGATGAAATTAGCTGATGTCTACTTTTCTAAAACCTTTTTCTAACCTTTCAAAACTCATATATAAAAATCTAGTTCTCTTTTTACTAGCAGACAGCTGGAAGTTGGAAGGCTGCCAAGCTGAAGGGAAGTGGAAACCATATTTTCTGTAATGCAGTCAACAGTCCTTAATCAGGCCCAGGACCCTAAGGGCTCTAAGGTAATTCATTCCACTCAACGAAATGGAAAATTATTAAAATAACATCACATACTTCTATAATGTCTTCCCTCCAGGGTTCTCAAAGTGCTTTGTAATAATTAATTAATTAACTAAGCCTTGAAACATGACTTTGGCCTAAAATACTACTGTACTCCAATCTACAAATGAATCTGCTCATAATAAATATGTATGCCAGTTAAAGAAAGGTGATGTGCCTGTAAGCTTGCCTATTCTTCCAGTTAAAGATATAAGAAAAATGAGATTAATTGCCTTTTTGTGATGATAACCTTTCTTCATTGGCCAGAGAGTAGAGGCATACCTTAAACAACTCCCTTACATTCAAAAAGAAATCCTGTGTTAAATATCCATTAATACAAAATGTAACCAGATATTGTAGCAGAGGGACACTTCAATAAATTGAATGGTAAAGGATAAAAAACAAGGAGGAGGTTGTGTTTTCCATTTGTTTTTTGTTTTTTTTAAGTATCATTTTTAGTGTTGATGTAATCTCACAATGGGAAATAAATTTCAAATTCATTTTTAAAAATTGAAAGCAGATAGTGGAATAACTAGATGATTCTGGTACTCTGCTAGGAATCACAACATGCAGATTCTGGGAACTATTCTTCCAAGCTGGAACAGAATCCTGAGACACATCTGCCATTACAAAATATGCTGGCTTTTTTTCAATGACTCTTTCAGTTCTGATTGCTGTATTAAAATAATGTTATTTGATTAAAAGTTCCTGTGACATATCTACAAAACTCATAGATGTGAAAAATCAGGAAAACTGAATGTTGGCTATGAAACTAGGCCTTCCCCCATGATCAAAGTGAAGGGTTTATCTATAAAATGTAAAATTTGCTTTTCTAGGAAAAATAAGTATGATATATGTATCTGTACATTTGGCATTTAGCGTTAAGTTCCAAGATTTCATAAGCTGACAGAATTCTCCAAGAGATATATCTGCTGTAATGGCATGGGATACTGTAATATCTAGACATATAGAAGAATGGGATAAAAGATAAATATATATGAACCTTTTTAATGCACCCAATTTAATTGCAGAATTCTTAGTTTTACTGAATAAATGTCAAACACATGAACAAAATCAGAGAAGACAAATTAATGTCATATCAAGCTTAGTATTACAGTATGGATCAATTTAATTTTCATTGGTATGTTTTTTTTCATGTCAGACATGACCTTAGTTGAGATAAACACACTCAGTGATTGATTTTTTTACTGTTTCAAATTTTGGATTTTAAAAACCTTAGCTGATTTTAATACTAATTTACCAATGTTTCTTTTACTTTATGTCTTTTGCAAGAACAAACCCCAAATAGTCAAGATGTTTCTAAGGTAATATTAAGGAATTTTCCAACATAAAACATTTTTGCTTCAAATGGACTGAAAACCCAAACTATTCTATGATTCTACAAGAAAGAGAGACTCCATGTTATTTCAAAGTCAAAGAATCAAATAAGACATCTTTACAAGTATCCAGTATGATGACATCTAAAATTTCCATACAAAATGCTTTCTTGCTTATATTGATCTCAGAAAGCTTTGGTTGATAAGGAACAGTGTATAGAACCCAATGCATCAGACTTGCATAGTTTAATACACAAGGAGAGCCTATTGGTGAAGACTTCTTGTTCCAGAAGCAGGATGCACCATGCTCACAGGCTCTTGTCCTGCTGGGGGACTTCACCCACCCTGACATCTTCCAGAAAATTAGCACAATAAACTGTAGCAATCCAAGAGACTCCTGGAATGCATGAAAGATAATTTCATGAGCCAAGTAGAGAGCCCTACAAGAGGGAATGTGTTACTGGATCTGATGGTCACCAACGTAAGCAAGCAAATTGGGGACATCAAAACTGAAGGCTGCCTGGGCTACAGGGATCATATATTGTTGGAATTTGGAGTCCTGAGGGAAATTTGCTGATGACACCAAGCTGATTGCTGTGGCTGACACACCTGGAGGACAGGATACCATCCAGAGGTACCTGGACAAGCTCAAGAAACAGATCTATGGGAACCTCAGAGATTTAACAAGACTAAGAGCGAGGTTCTGTACCTAGGTTGGGGCAGCCCCCTGTATCAATCAAGGCTAAAGGGATGAACAGCTTAAAAGCAGCCCTTCTGAGAATGACTGAGGGGTGCCAGTGGACAAGAGGCTGGACCTGAGCTGGTAATGTGCACTTGCAGCCCAGAAAGCCAATTTTTTGGGCTGCATCAAAAGGAGTGTGATCAGCAGGTTGAGGGATGTGATTCTGCCTCTCTACTCCACTCTGGTGAGATCCCACCTGGAGTACTGCATTAGGCTCTGGAGTGCCCAGCACAGGAAAGATGTGGACCTGTTAGAGTGAGTCCGGAGGAGGCCATCAAGATGATTAGAGGGATGAAACTCCTCTCCTGTGAGGAAAGGCTGAGAGAATTAGGATTGTTCAGCCTGGAGAATAGAAGTCTTCAAGGTGACTTCATTTCAACCTTCCAGGGCCTAAAGGAGACTAAAAGAAAGATGGAGAAAGACTATTAGCAAGAGCATGTAGAGAGAGGACAATGAAGAAAGACTTTAAACTGAAAGTGAGTGGGTTTAGATTAGGCATTAGAAAAATATTCATTGATGTGAGGGTGGTGAGACACTGGAACAGATTGCCCAGAGAGGTTATGGAAGCCCCATACCTGGAAGTGCTCAAGGCCAGGTTGGACGGAGCTCTGAGCAACCTGATCCAGTGAAAGGTGTCCCTGCCCATGAGAGGGAGATTTGAACTAGATGATCTTTAATGTCCCTTCCAACCCAGAACATTCTGTGATTCTCTGTTCTTCCACATTTTCGTTCTATGTGCGGCAAATCCGTAGGTACTTCTCAGGATGCTGGAATAACTTTGACCGGCTTTGAAAACTACAAGCTAAGACTTCTTAAAAAAAATTGAGTTACATGCTGTAATTCATCATAGACATAGATGGACAGACCTTCTATTTAAAGGTAACTCTTTAACGTGTCTTAAAAGTGCTTTAGCTGACATAGAATGAATTATGAAAGTAGCTCATGATTATTCCAATTGTTATATTTTTGTATGCTCAGTCTGTCACCTGGTCACTCAGCTCATTCTACTTAGGTCATATGAAAATATTTTTTAAAATATAGTGCAGAACACTTTATATAACTATGCAGTTTTAAATTCTTTGATGAACAATAGCTGCACACAGTATTTTCTTGATTCCAAAGTATCAGGAATGATCCACAGAATAGTACTTCATCTGGCAATTGACCAGCTAACCCATACACAGAATAGTTCTATGAATGACAATTAAAATAATGTGCAGATATTGAAAGGCAAATGAAAGCAATGGGCATTTCTACTGAAGTGAAAGAAAGTAAAAGTGGCTGTAAAATGGAAAAATATCAGTGAATCAAACCGAGTATCCTTGTACAAAAATCTAGTGAGTTTTAGTATGTATTTTACTTTCTATTCTGGTCTGTAGTTTTTAATGCTGCTTCTATAAGATCTTACAGAAGCATTTTGTTCTTGCTCACTTTTAGAGTTGGGATGTTTTTCGGAAGGACTACATTGTCAAAATTATTTTCTGTATTTCCCAGTATATATTGCATTTTAATCTCCAGTTTGTGTCTTTTTTGTATTTCAAATGTGTGAACTATTCCAGGTGTTTTTTCAAAAATTGCTGATTTTAGCAAGCAGAGATTTTGATGTGACTCTTATCTGAATTGTTGCTGACAATGTAATATCTGTATTTTTCCAGCCTGAATGAGTTCTCATGGCTGGTATTTTTCTACAGAGTTGCACATATTGTTTTTTTCTTAGGAAAGTTGCAATGTCATATATTATGTGTGTGGCTGGTGTTATCACTATCTATAAGCAAATGTCAGAAAAGTGTCATTTAATGGACAAAGTTAAAACAATACAATTTTAAGAAATGTATACAAAAAAATTTAATTTTTATGCATTTTATAGGTTTTTTTTAGAAAAAATAGCTGCGTATATAATTATTAAGGAAATCATTGATTTATTAATATAACATAGGGAACATTTAAATTTTCATAGTTTACTTTTTGAGGGAAACATGTGACACATGACTACCACTTATTTACACAACTTACCCTTCTGAGAAAAATTGTAGTCTGTGCTTTTTTTTTTTTTTTAAATTTTCCTGGAGTTAAGGAAATTCAGATAGAAGCAGAGCTGAGGAGAACATATGAATTGCGTAAGTGAGAAATTACAGAGTATGAAGTACAAAAGACATTCTCTAGGGGCAATTCCAGCACCTTGGAAACTGCTGAAAAACACCTCCAAGCAACAGTTATGAGCAATGATGGAGAGTAGTAGGGAATACATGTATAAAAGTTGTGCTGAAAGTAAAAGCATAATCAATTAAAATCAGGCAGTTAGTTTTAAGTGACTAGCGGGCAGTAAATAAGAGGAGAGGAGAGCTGGTCATGTGAGAGAGAGAAGGACATAATTAAATCATAAGTAAAGGTATTGTGGACTAATTTTCAAAGCTCTGATTTTAGCTAGAATAAATTAGCTCATGCATCTCACCACCATGCCATAGGTTCGAGCAATTCACATAATTCACCCCCACAGTTTCTGCAAAGGAATATGTGGGGGAACTTAAGAAGATGAAAACTCAACATGATGTGGAAACAGAGTTTTTGAAAAAGCTTGTCAGCATGTTACCAGAAAAGACAGGGGACTGCATTCAAAGTCTAGAGGGCTTCTTACATTTCTCTACTCATAACAATATGAGAGGTAAGACTGACTACAGTGAGACCAAAGCTGTCTCTAGAGCAGTATCATATCTGCAAAACTGGAAGAAAATACGTACCTAAAGAAAAACCTAAACACAAGGCAGTTATGGAGTGATACTTTCTGAATACTCTTCCACCTTGGATTTGTGCCTCAGGAACTTAATGAATCACACATCGTTTTTCATAGTAAGTCAAAGGGAATTTCTTTTTTTTCCCACAAACTTACTATACTGCCTAGAGACCCTGTAAGCTTTTAGCATCCATCACAGTCTGCATGAGGAACTTCCATTTTTTATGAAGTGAGTAAATACATTGCGTGATATGTACTCCACAGACATATCAGTGGCTGTAAAGTTCCTCATACACAACTTGATAAACATCATATAGTGGGAATCAAAGTGCTGGAAACCAAATTTGTCATACCATTTCTGTGGTTACAATTTATAGACACAGAAATATATTTGGAGGACTTTCAGTACTCAAAATGACAGGACATGCCAATAAAAGACATAGTGTCTGACAAAGCGTGCAACAGAATATACAACCTGCATCCCAGAATCATACAAACAAGACCATAAAACTGCATTTGAAGTTGTGTTACAGATGGATAACCTGATGTCAAGGAAAAAAATTGTGTTCTTATATTAGTATATCACAGCATGAAATATAAAAACCCACAAAAACCAAAAACAAAACAAAAAATCCCCAAAACAAACAAAAACAAACAAACAACAACAAAACAAAACAAACAAACAAAAACCACATCCACCTTCAGATCCACAAGAAAACTAAGATTCAAAGTTAAGCTGAGTCCTTATCCCAAACAAAATTCGCTATCAAAGTGAACCCAAACTCATTCTTTTTTAACGAGGTGAATAGGTCATCAATGGATTTCAGATCAACATAACTTCTGCAAAGTGAACCCACACTCATTTTATGTGTCTAAATATTTGGCAGGAAACTTCTAGCAAGGGTTAGAGCAGAAGCTAGAAGAAATATGTAATAAGCTGCCATGTATGGCAACTCAAGAGCACTGGATATACAGGGGAACCATCAGCTGTGTTGCTCTGTGAAAAAGGAGGGTAGGATGGAATACATTTACCTAAATTGGTATAAGTGCCTTATCAGAGCAGAATCATTCCACCAAAATATTGCAATTTCAACAGTGTTTTCAATGCAGAAGTTTTCTTTAGTCTGAGGTGGAGACTCCAGTAACTTTCAGAAAGAAGTGAGAGGAAAAGGAGGAAGAAGCCTCAAAATTTACCATTTTCAATGGAAGCTTCTGACATAGTACATTGAAAATTATTTGAGAAGTTTTTATTTAATTTCAAGGGATTAAGGAAATACATTTTGAAACCTCAATAGTTAGTATAACATTCAGTTGATTTCTGGATAGGTCTAATGAAAAAGACACCTAAAAACTGAAGTATATATGAACTACAAATAAAAATAGAAAATACATCCATACCTAATAATTCCATTTGAATGATACCAGTTTCCCTTCAGAGTGGTAAGAGACTGAATGTATGAGGTTAACAGAAGCTAATCAAGTGAAAGCAAGAGCTTGCAAAAGGCTCTCCATACCTTTCCTCAGTTAATATGGTGTTTTCTCAATGAAAGTATTAGAGAGAAGAAGCAGCATTAAGTGCATCAAATTAAAAAAATAGATACCATGCGCCAAAAGAGAACCCCAGGAGACCAGTACTCACTGGATTAATTTATTTACTATCCCTGACTCTTTTTCAACAGATTCTGATTTTGGGGATTAGATGTTGTTTTGCTATGTTATGGGGTTTTTGTTATGTGTTGTTTTGGTTTTAATCTTTCCTGCTTCTGAAGCCCGTTTTTAAGCCTTGTCAGACTTTACCTCATTTGCCATCTTCTATTGTCTCTCCTCACACTTTACTTCACCGACTTTTCTTTATCCAGAAAGAGATAGTTGCAATATTGTATGTATTGTGTCACTATGCATGTGACAGTAGTTGGGTTTTTTTCCCCTGCACTCAGTCTCTTGCCAAAATTCACATATTCAGCAGGCTTCACCTGCCACACAGCCAGAAAATAGCAAGTAGGTGGCACTTCATAGGAATAATGTCTCAGCAGGAATCATTTAAAATGTAGCTTTTGAAAAAGTTCTTTAAAAAGAAAAGAGTTATAGAGAATATGATAGCACTGAAGTGAAACACTCGTTTCATGTGTTTTTAAAAAGAACAAAATATGTTTGGAAGCAATTAAGTTTAAAATTTATATGATGTGCTTTTGACATGTTACAATTCAATGTCAATAATGTTCAAAACACAAATGCCCTAAATTTGTATACATGCAGAATAGGTCTCTCAAATAACTTTTGACAACCAACACATACATTTTTATTAGGAAATGCTGATAGATTTCTTTTTTATTTTGATATAAGGAAAGTATAAACAACAAATGAAATGCTTTTGCCTACCAAAGGTGAAAATGAAAGATGTGGTCAAAGATGTGGTGACATTTTCTCTTATGCTAATAATTTATTTCAGCTCCAGATAAACAGTTTCCATATAATGCACATGATGTTTATTAGAATCTTCTGCAAGATCAATTTCCTTTCTGATATATTCTTTCACAGATTGTGTTATTAAAAAGGGATGAGGAACACAGAAGAAGGAACCAAGATCAGATCTTTAAGTGACAGAAAAGGGAATATATTAAAAATTTTAGGAATATATGCAATATTTTCACAATTATTTTAAGCAGTAATAGCTATATGAAGATGCTATGGATTCTGTTCATAGTAATATAGAAGACTTGAAAATATAAAGATCTAAACAACTACTTCTGGATAAGATGAGGCCAGGGAAATAATATTTGGCCAAAATAAGCCAGTACTCTATGTATGACACCAGATCCAGGTCCACAGTAGGTTAAAGGTTCATTATTTAAGCTTTCATAGCTGTTTTCCCAAGACACTGGTCCTTGTTCTGAGACTGACTGTCACAAAAAGGTCAAAATATGGATCTGGAGAAATGCCCTCAATTGCATGATTTCAAAAGTCATATTATGCTGTAAGACCAAGAATCAAACCCTTTAAATTAAAAAATAAATGCAATAAAACTGCTTGTTAGTGTTTCATATATCAAAGATTATCAACCACACTCCCTAAGAGTATTTTTAACAGATATCAAACCGACAGTTACCTTCATGGTCTCTGTACCATTCACATTTCAGTGCCAATAAAACGACTACCTTACATAAAATTTTCAGAGTTCACAGAATATGCAAACTGTGTTTTATATCTGTGGCAAGGACAGACAATTGATGCAGGTAGGTATTGAATTTTTTACCATCCACAGTGAACTAGCTAAGTGTCACGCAATCCAGAATCAAATAATCTCTTTTGATGCTCTCATGTGCAGGATATCCCAAATTGCATTTATGTTTCATTGACTACATATATTAAGAATTAATGAAATTATCCAAATATCAAAATTCCTGAAGGACAGTATTTCTCTTCTTTACTTTCCCTCTCTGACCCCAACTAGGGTGTAAGGAACATTTCAGGGTGCATTTACAAAATGTGAAGCGCAAAGAAGTGTCAGCTCACAGCACTTGTTGGTAAAATTAATACCTTATATTACAGACTACTATTGAAAACGATGGACTCAAAGGAACTAAAGATCATTTGACATCTACAACAAAATATTTCTCAGAGAACATTTTTCTTAATTAGAACTGACAAAGGCTTCTTCCAACAGGCTTCTTCTACATTACTGCTGTTATAAGTCCGTTAAGACACTTTGATACAATCTTCATTTTACTTCCCTTTCACATTCTTTAATTGGCATCTATTCTCTTTCTCATTCCTTGAGTAATGTCAGTTACTTCTCTTGCTCCCTAATTACTGAGAGCATAACAATTTATGCCTGTTTCCAAACCATGCAAGTACTAAGTGACTTGCTGTGACGTGGAATGGGTAGAGGGAAGAAGGCACAGTTTTGCATAAAAAAACCAAAACAGTACAAAACAGTAATTTTCAAGAAACTCATAGGATCTTCATATTTCACGATGTATTTTCTTCTGATGACAATCACCCCAGAGATGAATGGGCAGAGATAGTAACTGCATGAGCTTGTTTCCTGATGAACCAAGGCACAGAAAGGCCCTTTGGTATCAGCCAAGACCTCGTCTCATAACTCCTACTTTTATTCTGGCTTCTAGTCTTAATTTACAACACAATTTTGATGTATTACACTTTTTTAAAAAAAAAAAAAAAGCTCACCATTTTATTATGCAGTCTAATTATGTCTGAAACAGAGCAAGCTCCACAGTGTTCCGTAACAATTTATAGATCTGTATTC